TAAACCTGTCACGTGAACAGTCTCGCGACTGTTCGCTCTACTGTCTGTAACTCACGCGAAGGGACACCTGCTACAGTAACACACATATGTAGAACTATTACGATACTACTATACTATTGAACTTCTGAATTACTCAAGTCAATTTTCTTCTCCCAACAAAGTTGGAGGATCAAACTTGGCAGTTGTTGGTAGAAACAAAACCACCTGACAATCAAATAGCAGATTTGCTGAACAGTGGACTTACGGTACAATGCAGGCTGGAATGGTAAATTTGGTGACCTTACAACAGAGAAATATGCAAGATAGGACGAGAATTGAGTGCGTGCGTTGAAGACATGTAGGGACAAGACTGAGAGTTTGAGCAGTAAAATGGGGAGGTCACGGAGGCACGTGCAGTGGTTGTGGATGCAGCGGATGGTTCGTGAGATGGTTGTAAGCAGGGCCCAAAATTGGTTTAGGCCCACAGTGACAAATCAGGGTTCCAGGCCCCCATTACACTAACCCGTAGGGTAAAAAAATTCATACCCTGATGGCAGCAGCCTAAAATTTTCCTTACACTGATTTTACCAGGGTAATATTGTAGTTAGCCTATTTTCAATGCAGGTTGTTTAATTTCACATGTATCATTCAGCTATCACGAAACTGATTTGGTGCGCTACTTGGCTCAGTTGGGAGTAGGCGCGGCATGGTGTGGCACGATTCTGGGGTGCGTTGGCTATACTGTGGGTCACGACGATGGCAGTGGGTGCGTGGTTCAGTTTGTCAGCACGCGAACTGTGGGCTGATCCGCGCTAAAAAGGGGTTCGGTATTAGGGTAATGTACACCAAACCCTGATTTTGCTAGTGTAACCAAAATCACTATCAGCGTAAAAACAAACATACTCTTTTTGCGTAAGGGTAAGATTTCGAAAGCCTGATTTTGAAAGGGTAACTCTGAAAAAGCGGTCACCTATCAGGGTAATCAGGGCATTTTACCCTGCTATTTTGGGCCCTGGTTGTAAGGACTCATGGGTGATTGCATGGGTGCATGGGTGCAGGTTGCTTGGTTGCATGGGTGGTGCTAAAATTCTGAATAGGACTTAGCCAAGGATCGGCTCAGGGTTTTTCGCAGGTAGTGTCACAACGGAATTGTGGACCTCACATCAGAGTGAATGTAAAATGACAGAGATATTAAGAGCATGCGTACATGGAGTTTATATAGGAATACAGGGAAATACGAAAAGACCTAGACTAGCCATGTACCCTAAGGGGTACATTTCCTTATTGTAGCGAAGTTCAAAATGTGCGGCGCGGGAACCCGTTTCAAACCTGTTCCTGCACTTAGAACGTTTCTGCTCGCATCGGTCTTGTTCTGATGGTTGTTGGCGTTGCTTCGACTCTTCTGACTCCTCGACTTTGTACTCGGTAGAGTCGGCTCCTGCAGCATACAAGAATGCCTTCTCATTTAAGTTTCATATTGTAACATCCCCCTTCATTCCTGGACGTGCTGAGGGCTAACTCGCTTGACTACTCCGGTGAGGTTGGAGCAGTGCTGGTACTGCTGACGTGGCAGTCGTTTGGTGAGGAAGTCGGCTGCCATCTTGGTAGTGAGGCAGTACGTGAGGTCAACCTTGCCTTGGTTAATTTCGTCCTTGACAAAGAAATATCGATGCGCGATGTGCTTCGTTTGGATGACGAACCCTGACTTGTGCTTCGTTAATGGCGCTTCTGTTATCGAAGTGAAGGCAAAAGGTGGGCAAAGTTGGGATTTTTGCCTTGTGCAGCAGCTCTTGCAGATAAACTCCTTTGCGAACTGCAGCTCTCGCGACGATATACTCTGCTTCAGCTGACGGTAGGGCAACCAGTTCCTGCTTTTGCGAATTCCAGGAGATTGGGCCTATTGGCTCTAGGCGAAAAACGAAGCCGATTCGTGACCGTCGATCAGCAAGGTCAGCGGCGTGATCTGCATCTACGTAGCCGGTGAGGTTGAAGGAAGTTTTTGTCAACGTGTAGTAGAGCCCGATGTCAGGCGTGGAGACGAAGTACTGTAGGGCGCACTCCAGGTCCAACTGATTCTCACCTACTAGCTTGCGATGTATGATAAGTCGGGTCGACATGTGACAGAGGTGAACAGCAGGCACCCCAGTTGCTGCTGGTACAGTTGGAGTCTTGCGAGCGACAGAGGTTTGTTGTCCGGTTTGTAGTTGGCGCTGGGAGTGCGGTAGGCAATTGAGAGTGGTGCGGGCAAAATTTTGAAGCACTCTCTCAACTTCTCTGCGTTTTTGGAAGCTGACAAATGAATTTCTTCTTGCGCGTAGGTGAAGTTCAGGCCCAGGAACAATGTGACGTTGTGGTTGATGGTGATGTCAACGCGCTGCGCCAGGTCTTCCTCGAACTGATTCAGGAGCTTGTTGCAGGTCTTGGTGTACAGCAGGTCGTCGATGTAAACTGTCAGGAGGATGTAGTCGCCGTTGAAGTGGAGGAAATACATTCCCGGGTCGTGCGGCAGTTGCCTGAAGCCGATCTCAAGAAGTATCTTGTGCAGGTGCTCCTGCTGGAGTCGCGGCGCTTGCTTGATCCCGTAAAGGGACCTTTTCAGCTGACAGACCCTTGGGTCTCCTTCCTCGTAGGTGTGCGCCTGTTCCACGAAAATGGTCGCATCGACCAGCGTGTATAAAAGCGCACTCTTGACGTCGAACTGCCGAAGTGGTAGGTGCTTAGCTGTAGCGATTGTGAGAAGAATTCGCACAGAGGTATGGGGGCGAAGGTTTTATCGAACTCGATGACGTGGCATTGGTCGTACCCAGCGTGCCTTGAAGCGCTTGATAGTTTCGTCAGCGGTGGTCTTAAGACGAAATACCCACTTTCCGCTTAGCACCCTCCTCCCCTTCACTTCTGCACGATCGACCAGGACCCATGTGTCGCGCGACTCAAGTACTTTTCGCTCCGCATCCATAGTTGCACGCCACTCCTTGGCGTATGGGCCCGTGAGGGCCTGGCGCAGGTTCTTAGGCTCGGCGATGCACGGAGCGGTAGTGATGGCGGTGTGTAGGCCGATGAGTTGAAGGCTTGTGATATTAGCCGCACCTTCGGCTTCCTGAGTAGTTACTTCAACCATGTCGTCGTCGTAGCTTTCATGTACAAGCGTCAGGTTGCTCGAGGAGTCATGACGACATGATGGTCCTGGCGCGGGAGCGTCGGTGTCGTCATTATCGTCGTCGTCATCTCACGGACGAGGAGGTACGCCGGGATGTTCATCGGCGCGGTCGCGGTCGACGGCTGCTACAGCTGCCTCATCTTCTAACGAGGCAAAACTTTGGCCATTGTTGGCGTAAGCTTGAGCGACGTTTCTACGCTGGTCCTCGATCCACTGGTCCAAGGTGAGTCGTTAGTAGAAGAGGATATCTCGCACATGTACAATCTTGTTGGTTTCGAGTGTCGCGATATATAAATTATATATGTTTATAACTGCCTGTAGCATTAGCTTTAGTGTAGTTATACAAACCTGGTTGGTGGTGCCCTTCTTGTTTGTTTGCTATATGTACCTTTGGTCCTATAGTGAACACAATCATTCTCGACATTCCTCCTTGGCACAACTCCCTCGAACCCGCTTGGCCTAGGCTACTAAGCCTAGGCCCTTAGTAAACCCCGGTTCCTAGACTAAGATCGTATCGTAACATGGTATCGAGCTACTAAGATCCTACTCCTAGGTCAATGGGCCCACCACCAGCTGTCGCTATGACGCGCCCTTTCGATCAGGTCGTTGCGCAGCCCGTTACGCGCATCGCTGGCCCGTCGCTCGCCCGTCGCCCCACCGGCTCGACGTCCTGCTGCTGCTACTCTAGCGACGACGAGCTGCGCGAGGGCACTCGTCGCGCCCCACCGTTACGCCCCCCCCCAGTTCACCTGCGGACCCGCGAGCAAGAGAGACAACGGATCCGCGGACCCGCCTTCAGCGAGCGAGCCAGCGGACCCGCGAACCCGCCTTCAGCAAGCCCGTCGACGGACCCGCCGACAGGCTCGTCACAGGGCCCGCCGACGGACCCGCCGTCGGACCCGCCAACAAGCCCGCCTGCGACCTGCCACCCGCACCCGCGCGACCCGTTCCTGCCCCGCTTGCATCTGCCGCGCCCGCTACTGCCGTTTCGTCACGTACCCATTGCCCCACCAGTTCCCGCTGCCTCTCCCGTTCCCGCCGCCCCACCCGGAACCCGATGCCCCACCTGTACCCGGCCACCTGCCCGTCTCCCCCCCCCGTCGCAACTGTTCGCGTGTGCAGCGTCGGTCGCTGTGGGTGGGAGAGGGAGGAGGGGAAGGGATTGGCGGCCCAACCGACGCGCCAGCCAGCTCGCACCCCGCCCGTCTCCCGTACGCCACCCGCATCTGCACGACCCGTCCCTGCCCCACCTGCATCTGCCGCGTCAGCAACTGCCGTTTCGCCCCGTACCCGCAATGTCCCTGCCCCTCCCCGTCCCTCCCTGGTCGCGCCTTCCCCCTCTACCGCGCCTGCCTATGCCGTGTTGGGCGGTGGTGGGTGTGGAGGACAGTGGGGGCGGCGGCGGCGGGAATGGCGGGAGTGGCGGGAGTGGCGGGGTTGGCGACTCATGTGGGGGGGGGGGGGGGGGGGGAGGCGTGGGGGAAAGGGGTGGTGGGCGGCTGTCAGCAGTGAACTCCAGCGCAAGCACCAGAACTGCCGCCAGCGCCTACCGCCTGTCCGTCTTCCCTTCCCCCCCCTCCCCGTCGCCTTCCCTACCGCGACTGCAGCTGTTGGGGGGGGGAGTGACATGGAGGGGGTGATCAAACTGCAGCAACTGTCGCCACGCCTCCTCCTCTCTCTCTCTGCCGCTGCTGCTGCTGTGGGGGGGAGGTTCAGGGGGTGTGGGTGGATGTTCCAGCTGCAGCAACTGCCACCACTCCTCCTCTTGTTATCCCCCCGCCCCGTGTCTCCCGTGCTGCTACCCCGTCGTTCCCATGCTCCCGTGCTCCCGTGCTCCCGTGCGTCCTGTGCTGCCCCGTGCCAGTCCGTTCCAGTCTGTGCCCCACCCGTGCTGTCCGTACCTGGTTGTGCTCCACCCGTTTCACCCGTGCTGTCCGTACCTGATTGTGCCCCACCCGTTACACCCGTGCTGTCCGTACCCAGTCGTGCCCCACCCGTTTCACCCGTTCTGCCCGTGTTGCCCCGTTCAGCCCGTGTCCTGCGCCGTTCTGCCCGTGCTGCCTGTTCTGCCCATGCTGCCCCGTTGTGCCCGTGTTGCCCCGTTCTGCCCGTGTCCTGCCCGTGTTCTGCCCGTGATCCTGCCCGTGATTCTGCCCGTGCTTCTGCCCGTACTGCTGCCCGTGATTGTGCCCGTGATTATACCCGTGTGCTGCCCGTATTTTGCCCATGTTCTGCTCGTGATCCTGACCGTGATTCTGCCCGTGATTCTGCCTGTGATCCTGCCCGTGTTGCTGCCCGTTCCCGTGCCATACTGGCCGTGCCCACCCGCGTCTCCCGTTGCTGCCCGTGTTCTACCCGCGCCCAGTGTCGCCCGTGCTGCCCGTACCAGTCTGCCCAACCCGTGCTGTCCGTACCCGGTTGTGCCCCACTCGTTTCACACGTGCTGTCCGTACCCGGTTGTGCCCCACCCGTTTCACCCGTGCTGTCTGTACCCGGTTGTGCCCGACCCGTTTCACCCGTGCTGTCCGTACCCGGTTGAGTTCCAAGGGGGCAGGCCGCCGTGTGAAGATCCGTGCAGGGATTACTATGGGTGGGCAGGGGCTGGAGTAAGGAAGGGGGGGAGGGGGTGCGGTTCCAGGAGGCGACTGACATGAGTGGTGAGGTTAAAGGGGGGTGGTTAATTGGGGGTGGGGATGTGGGGGTTTGTAAGCGGGGACGCCGCGGCCACCCCCCCACCTCCTCTCCTCATCCCCCACTCAACTCCCCCCCCTTCGTAAAAGGGGGTTAGTAAGAGGGGACGCTGCGGCCACCCCCCCACCTCCTCTCCTCATCCCTCACTCACCTCCTTCATTCTTATCTCCCCACCTCTCCTCTCTCTCTCTCTTGCCTCCTCCTCCTCACTTACCTCTCTGCCGTCTCCCACTGCACCTGCTATACCACTTCAGGGGGTGTGACTTTCTCTCGCTATGTGCTGCAGGCAGTTAAGGGGGTGTGTCGCGATTTATAAATTATATATGTTTATAACTGCCTGTAGCATTAGCTTTAGTGTAGTTATACAAACCTGGTTGGTGGTGCACCTCTTGCTTGTTTGCTATATGTACCTTTGGTCCTATAGTGAACACAATCATTCTCGACATTCCTCCTTGGCACAACTCCCTCGAACCCGCTTGGCCTAGGCTACTAAGCCTAGGCCCTTAGTAAACCCCGGTTCCTAGACTAAGATCGTATCATAACATCGAGGTCCAGGATCGGCCAGTCCTTGTACTCATAGTTAAGTCCCAGGTGGACTCCCCAGCCCGTGCGGTCAGAGAACTTGCCGACGGTAGCAGATGTTGGCCTGTACTGCACCATGCACCCCCAGATCCTCAGCATGGTGGTGTCCCCCCTAGTCCCAGTCCACTTCATGTGCGGTGAAAGGTCCCCCCTGTTCGCCGTGGTAGATAGAAGGTTGTGGAGCCGTTCGGTGTGGTTCATGGCGTATGGCCAATACTTCTTGGGGAGGACCGACTGATTGTGCGGACCTTTGTCATGAGGGTGCGGTTGACCCGCTCGGCGATGCCTTGCTGCTGGTGAGCGTAGGGGAATGTTTGCAGTTCGTTGCCACGAAATTCCTAGGCGCCATCTGTCTGTCCGATTCCCGTTGCGCCTGAGCCAGCTAGATGCGAAAGACTTCTGGAGCTTTGGAGCGAAGGCCAATGTTGGCAACCCAGACGTAACGTGAGTACTCGTCGATGAAGGTGAGAGTGTTATTTCCATCATTTACTCCCACATGGTTGATCACGATGAAGTCTCTTTAGACCTTCTGCAACTTCTTGTAGCGGTTGGTGCTCAGCTCCTTTGAGGGATAGGCCTGGTGCGTGAGGGCAGTTGTGGGGTAGACGGTGCATGTTTGTGGCTGTGTGGTGCTTCGTGGTTCCGTGCCGTCAGGGCGTAGTAGTGCTCATGGCTGGAAAACCTTAGCTGTGAGGCAGTTGTTGAATGTCTGGCGTGGGGGGTGGCAGTCTAGGGGTGCGCAGGTATCGTGCGTGATATGCGGTTGCCTCTGCTTCTGTATCGTGAGGGATGCAGAACACGGGTCCTTCTTCTTCTCCTGGTTTTGCTTCGTTTTCCTCCTCAGCTTCTGATTCTGCTGCTGTTTCTCCTTCTACAGGTGCGGTTGTCAGATAAAGCGCGAGGAAGTTGCAGTCAAGGATGGTGTTGAGCGGAGTAGTTGTGCCTCCGATTAAGTGGGTGAAGGGGTCTGGGCGCGAGAGTGGTCTATAAGCGTGACGCGGGGGAGTCTCGGGGATGCTCCCGTGTTCATTTTTTTACCAAGTGGACTCTCAGATCTGGGATGAACGGGGTGGTGATGGCAAGTTGCGCGGAGGTCGCCCGAGGGGAACTACAACCTTCGGTGGTGTCTGCTCGGCGGTCGCTTCTCTCTCTGCCTCCTCTAGTTCTTCTCGAGTGAGCTCTCCTTCAGTCACACCCCATGCTCCGACGTTGTCCCATCCTCCTCCGCCTGTGCCTCCTTCGCCGGTGCCTCCTCCAGTGCCCCAGCCGCTCATGGTGCCAGAGGCCCCTGTTGCTGATCCCCATGTTGCTCCAGTGTAATCTTCTCCCCAGCCTGCAGATTCTTCGTCCCATCCTGCTGCGATCCTCTCCTAATGTAGGCGCTCTCTCTTCTCTTGCTTTGCCTTCTCCTCTTCTTCCTTGACGATGCGTTCTTCTGGTGCGCCAGGGTCCTTCCATTCCTTGTAAACTTGGCGATGGACTGCGCGGGTGTAGAGGAGTGGCCAATTCTCTTCATCATAAGTCCCCTTTGATCCTCCTTCCAAGATCCATTGAAGGCAAGCAGTGGCGTAGCCGGGCTCGAGCACTTCCCCTTTTTGTGTGGCGAAGAAACTATGGGAAGTTGTTGTGAGCTCCATATCTGTCATGCCTTCCGTTGGTGCTGCAGCGCTTTCCGCCTCCTGGATTGACGCTAGATCTCGCTCGACCTCTTCGGTGCGGCTTGCTGTGGGCGTACAGCAGCTGGAGCAATGACCACCAGGCCCAAGCTGGTGCAAATTGATCTCGCGTAGGTGAGGACTGCGCCTGATCCATGGTCTGCCATCAGGATGGTTCCACGAATCTTCGGGCTTGAAGGTGAAGTCCAGAGGAATGAGGTAAACGAGCTCGTCCAAGGTGGCTCTGCAGTCAGGTAGGTCAAAGCCGAGCACGTAAACACCGTTGATGGATCTGCTCTATCTGTAGGAGGATCTCTAGCTCAGAACTCCTTGTATAAAAATATTTGCCGTTGAATGCGGTAGTTGTCTTGATCTTGGAAACACAGAGAAAACGTGCTTGCGCAGAGTTGATGACTTCATTGCTTGGACGGAGGGCTGTTGGTGTTGATGTTTTTGTGTCGAGAGAGAAGGTGTGCGGGGCGGTATCGCAGCCGTTTTCGGCCAGTTGAGCATATTGTGCTGGTTGCGAGGAGGTTCCCGCGTCGCCTTTCTACAATGCTTGGAGGTCTTTCTCCATAGTTGATAGTCGTTGAAACAGCTGCTCGAGTGCAGCAGTACTGATCGTAGTTGTCGCCTCATTTGTTGCAGTCGGGTTGGGTTGACCTTCAGCCGTTATATTTATTTGCTCCCGGATCCTCCGGCCATCTTGGACTTGGAGCATGTGCCGCTCGCCAGATCTTGGTTCGGCGAATCTTACGGGTGTAGAGCTGCGAAGAATCCGTGAGTTGCTCTCAAACCATGTTACAATCCTAAGCAGGACTTAGCCAGGGATCGGCTCAGGGTTGTACGCAGGTAATATTGAGCGGAATTGTGTACCTCAGATCAGAGTCAATGTAAAATGACTGAGATAATAAGAGCATGCATACATGGAGTTTATACAGGAATACAGGGGAATACGAAAAGACCTAGACTAACCATGTACTCTGTGGGGTACATTCCCATATTCTAGCGAAGTTCAAACTGTGCGGCGCGGGAACCTGTTTCAAACATGTTCCCGCACTTAGAATGTTTATGCTCGCATCGGTCTTGTTCTGACGGTTGCTGGTGTCGCTTCGACTCTTCTGACTCCTCGACTTCGTACTCGATAGAGTCGGCTCCTGTAGCGTACAGGAATGCCTAGTTTTATATCGTAACTGCTGGCATGGGTGCATGGGTGCATGGGTGCATGTTCAGAGTTTATCCAACCACTTCTCTTAAACTCCATACACCTTCCATCCTTCACCCACACCTACATGTCATGCATGTGCGGAGATAAATACTATAACGGGAGCTAGACTACGGGGAAGACACAGACGTAGGAGTGATCATAGCGTTCCTTGCGTGTTTGCTTGTGTTCTCTCTACGCACACATTCACGGGGGAAATTGGCAAGATTTTCACTAGCAAAAGTGAACAAGGCAATGCAACATTGAGTACATCGGATGCTAGCAAGCATGCAGGTCGACTGCCAGCACAGTGTGGTCGACCGCGGTCCAGCACGACAAGGTCGACCGCGCTCCAGCAGTGCAAAGTGGTGACCTGCCAACGTTACAAGTCGACGGCATGCCAACGCTGCAGCAAGGTGGCTGCACAGCGTTGCACCCGCAGGACAGCAGCCCACCCGCTTTGCAAGTGCTTGCAGTTAATTTGCGTGCTCTGCCCCGTCACGAACACAGCGTAGACACCAAGCCGACCACGTGTTCACGACTGCACCTGATCCGCCACGTCGACCTCGGGATACCATCCCTGAGGTCGGCTTTGCCAAAACCGCCCGGGCGACTGTCGCGCACCTCCACGGAGCCTCGTCGCCAGGTTACTTGGTCGACCGGGCAACCACCAAGTCGGCGTTGACTTGTGTGGCCGATGTTGACCAACTGCGGTATTCCTGTGTCTCCCGGGTGCAACAAAGCGAGCAAGGATGCTGAAACGGTATGCGAGGTCAGGTCGTGTGCACGTCATCAGGTACATGAGCTAGCCCACAAGCTCTGGATACGGACCACTCAGCTCTATAGACTCGTCTGAAGGTGGAGCCGAGAGTGAGAGGCTCGTAGGCAGAGGAGTGGGCTGTGGCAAGAAGAACCAAAAGCCGAAGCGCTGAATGAGCTGCTGCACCATGTGTGACCGAGTCAGTGAGATGGTACGCCTTGCTCTGTCCCGAGTGATCTGCAAGCCAAGATAGTTGTGTAGCTCACCCAAGTCAGTGCAAGTGTGTCTCTTCTGCAGCTCCGCCTTCACAAGGGCTAAAGCCTCGTTGTCCGCAGTACCAAAGACCAAGTCGTCGACATACACGATGATGTAGAATGGTGGCAGAGAAGTGTCGATGCGCACAAACAGTGACGGGTCAGCAATCGAAGGAGCAAACTGAAGAGCTGCAAGCGCCATCCTCAGTGTGTCAGCGAGGCGCTTGGCGGAGTCTGTAGACTGGTCACCGAAAGCTCCAATGGGTACCACCCAGGAAACAACCCAGTGAAACTAGGTGGACGGTGCAGCCAAATCTCCTTGTGAAGGCTTCCCTGCAGGAAGGCCGTGGAGAAGTCAAGCGAGTGGAGCTCGTAGTCACGTTGTGCTGCAACGTTTAGTAACACCCGAAGAGTAGTCATCATCGGGGTGGGGGAGAAGGTCTAGAAGAATTCGACCACCAGTCGCAGACTGAAGCCTCGTGCAACGTAACGCGCCTTGAAGACACGC